AACACGGTGAACACAAAACCAAATGCAATGTAAGTTACCACTGCTAATTGTGCAAGCTGATGTTTACTCTTCAGGGTAGTAAAAAGCATAAAACATTTCTTTAAGTAGCTTCAAATCCAAGTCTCAGATGTTTCCAGGCAAGGAGCTTACATTCCTTGGTGAGATTAGCTTGGGCTTGAACACGAGCCTCACAGAACAGGCTGTATGCAGTTTAACTCATTTATTACAGAAAATACCAAGGACCAGCACTGGAAAAGAAATCCTCTGCTCATTGTTAAACAGAGACTGCTTACATTTCTACAAGTTTTTTTTTCCAATTTTCACGGAGTCTTCCCTCTGGAAACATTCCACACCCACCTGGACACATTCCTGTGTAACATGCTCCAGGTGACACTGCCTGGGAGGGGGGTTGGACTAGATGATCTCCAGAGGTTCCTTCCAACCCTAGCAATTCTGTGATTCTGTAATTATCTTCATTATTTACTTTCTTATCACTGGCAACCTATTACAGATCCTGGAGTATCCAAATATACCAGAAAGTGTAAACTGGAGTCCCTGATAGTAATAGCAGGGGAGAAGAAACAGGGCATAGTTCAATATAATTTTTGACCTTGTCTGTGGAGAAAACATGGACTTGAAAATATCTAAACCAGACAAAGAAAATCAGGATAATCATATCTTTCACTGTTACAAATATGCTGGTTTGCCAGGTTAGCCTGTAGCAGCCTATTGTAGCTGCCACATCTCAACCAGGCATGGATTTTCTCTGTATCACAAAAGGACAAGGAAGCCACAAGACAACACATGGCTCAAACCCCAAATGAGCACATCCCCATCCAAAAAGGCTGGTCTGTCTCTGCTGGCCAAAGCTTCCCAGGAAGATGGACATCTGCCTCCCCCTTCTCATAAGGAGGAACAGCCTTGCCTCAGGCATTACTGTACCTCTTACACAATCTGCTGTAACTTACAGGCAAAAATTAATTCAGAAACAGCCAAATTAACTGTGTACACAGACAATGTGAAGTCTTGTTTCCAGTTAGAAAGCCCAGTATCAGCTGCCCAACTACATTATTTTCTTCTGTAACTCTGATACAGATGTTTTGAATTGCTCCATCTCCTTAAACACTCAAATACTTCACAAGTAGTTGAATTGTGGATATGAGTCATCTAATTTCCTTTTCCAGTAAGGGTCACTATTGGAAAATTGGCATACCAAGGCTAAGTAATCACATTACCAATGAAAATAATAACAAGTTCTGTCCTGGTGAATCAGTGCTCTGCTTTTTGCACAGTTTCTTAAAATAATACTACATACAGCAGAATGAAAAGGGGAAACCAACTAAATTAACCTCACTACTCACAATCCACCTTTGAAACCAGCGTAAAGCAGGGGAAAACTCAGTACTCCAATCAAAATGGGGGGAAAAAAATCCTGAAACACCTTCCAGTAGTAAACCTTTGCCACAACACATTCACTAGCAGCAGAAATTGGAGAAATCACTTATGGTCAAGGAAAAATGGTGACAAATTTATCAAGTTCAGCAGTATGAAACCTGTGTCTATACCCTGACCTAAAAGCTCCACATGATCTTTAAGGACTGATCAACAATGTAAAGGGCCTGAATCTGAGTTAACCCTGACTTTTATACCTTTCCTAGAATGCTTACATTTGCTTCCAAATGCAGCATTCTGGGAAGCAAAATACCTTCAAATACTTAGAAGTGCATTATTAACACACTCCAATTGAGTGCAATTTATTGTCTTTAAAATGTACACCAAAGATTACAGAGTATGGACCACTTGCAATGTGAAATACACTTAAAAGGATTGCCCAAAATGCACACCTGCCTCAACAGCACCTGATACTCAATATAAATACTGAAAAACATTAATATCAGAGGATGATACTAAAAAGAAACCTACTGAAAACTGGGGCTTTGCTTGCACTCCTGCAGAAAACCTCAGAATAAACACAGCAAAAAAGCAAAAGTACAAGCAAACTAGAAATTGCTCAGCCAAGCAGGACAACAAAGAACAAACATTCCACCAGCAGCCCTTCCCTAACCCTAACCCTGTCCTTAGAATTATGGTGTAATCGTGGCAGGATTTCCAAGCAGGGAGAAGAAACACCCAGACCACAGAGTCCAGTGGCAAGTCCACAGGTAGTCTGTAACTCGCCCTCAGAATGGGGAAGTTCTCTTAAAAAGACAGAATTTGTGAGCAGTGTGCCAGGGTGGTAACTCTATCTAGAAATCAGCCTGATGCAAGAATGGGGAACTAAACACTTTCTGACCCATAATGCCAGGAAATCATCACCTCCTTCTCAAAGGCAGTGTCAAAGGTAATATTTGCAACTCCTGAGAAAGAACAGGGCACTAAAGGAAGTTGCCCTTTTTGCTTCCTGTCATGTTACAAACTGTTCAAAGAGAATGCTCATCTTGTTGTAGATACAAAGAAATATTCTGACATCAGCCCTTCTCTCCACACAGTGAAGAATTAACCTAACATAGTCATCAAGAAACAAGGCAAAACCTGCCTTTAAAAAAAAAAAATTGGCACAGAGAGAGGGTGGAGTAGACCTTGCAGGCAAGGAAGCATGACAACTCTTCCAGAAGGAGTTCAGCTTACTACTTGGTTAAAAAAGCATAGAAACCTCAACATACACAACACAAAACTCCAGGCACTGTCTGTAGCTAAACAAAAATCTACTTGGTGTCCCACTGGCTGCAGTCACAGACGGTGCCACTCACTACAATCCAGTATTGAAACACCCTAAATGGGACAGCTCAGACATAAGTCATTTTGGAAAGTTCTGAGATGTGGTTTTTCTCCAGAGTCATATCCAGGTGGCTTTTCAATGACAGTATTCCTGTGAGTAATACCACCTTTCTAATAAAATGCCTAACAAGAAGGTAAGTTTGATGTCAAGTCTAGGCCTTTGCACAACACTAATTTTTCAAAGCTGTAATGTAATTGAAAAGGAAGTCACTCATCTTCTCAAGGTGAGACATCCACAGTTCTCTTTTTAAACATTCCACAGCTGAAAACAAAGATAATTAAAACAATTTAACTGCTCCTTCCTAAACGCTTTTTTCTGTCATTCACAAAGAGCAAGCCCTGACTTCAAGATAAGGCTCATGCCTGCTGTACTGGAACCACACATCTGAAGACAGACGATCAGCCTAGCTGAGAAGGGGCATCCCTCCTCCAAGAGATTTGTTACATTAAATCCTCCTCCTTGAAGAGACATCACCAAAGAGACCACGGCTCCAAGACATGCAAGTACCCCATTCACACCACCATGGCAGTGCCCCTTCCTCCCCCGCAGGTGCAGACACACAGCGCGGGGGCTCAGCCCGGCTGTGCCGCGGAGGGCGCCGGCCCCGACCCCCGCCCGCCGCTCCCGGGGATGCGGCTCGCACGGCCCCGCTCGCAGCCGGTACTGAACCCGCTCCGCCGGAGGTCCCGGGAAGGCCGGGCGGGTTCCCCCTGCAGCTGTCGGGGTCCCCCCGGGGCTGTCGGGTCCCTTCCCGAAGCCCCGAGCCCCGCCGCTTACCCCATGCTCGCCGCCGCTCGCTCCGCGCCCGCCGCCCGGCCCCGCGCACGTCACGGCGCCCGCACCGCCCCTTAAAGGGGAGCCCCAGCGCCGCTGCCGCGCTCCCGATCGCCAAACCTACGCAGAAACATCCATCAGCCAGAGCTCAGCGTCACTTCCAGCACAGGAAGGACTCGGAAGGGTTGGAGCGAGTCCAGGGTTGTTGGTAAGATGTGCGCGATGTTGATAAGAGAGCTGCAGCACCACCCCTGAGGAGACAGGCTGGGAGAGCTGGGGCTGTTCAGCCTGGAGAAGAGAAGCTTGTGGGGATACCCCCCAGCACTTCCCAGTGTCCGTAGGAGATACAGGGAACCGGAGAGGGGCTCTTTGTCAGGAACTGGACTGACAGGACACAGAGTAAATGGGTACAAACTGAAAGAGAGGAAATTCAGATTGGCTATTAGGAAGAAAGGTTTTACTATGAGGATGGTGATGCACTAGAACAGGTTTCCAGTGGAAGCTGTGGGTGTCCCAATCCTGGCAGTGTTCAAGGCCAGGCTGGATGGGCCTTCAGTAAGTGGGACCTGTGTCCCTGGCCATGGCAGAGGGAGGCTGGGAATAGATCATCCTTAATGGCCATTCCAACCCTGTAACATTCTGTGATTAATCCCTGTCCTCTCTTCATCATCTTCTGTGAAAAACTGACACATTTTTACAGCAGGACTCCTGTCATCACCAATATAGGCTTAAAGGAATTCTTTCCAAGACTGAAAGAGATGGAGAAATATTGATAGAAACTAACGCAAAAGATGCTAGAACACCAAGGAGACACTTCAAACATAAAGCAGATTTTCTTCCAGAGCCACTATGGATGTTCTAAGAGCACAAAGCACAGAGAAATGGCCAAAAACTAAAACAGAGGAGATTCCACCTCATTGTGAGGAAGAACTTCTTTATGTTAAGAATGGCAGAGTACTGGAAGAGGCTCCCCACAGAGTGAGTGGGGTCTCCTCTCTGGAGACATTCAAGTCACACCTGGACACATTCCTGTGTCAGCTGCTCCAGGTGACCCTGCCTTGGCAGGAGGGTTGGACTGGATCTCCAGAGGTCCCTTCCAACCCCAGCTGTTCTGTGACTCTGTGCTAATGCTTCAAACTCCTGTTCAGCAGGGAGGATGCAGATTATTATATACAGAGACTGTTATGGTCTCAATAGCAACACCCAGCTTCTTCCTCATGTCTCTCCTCCTTCCAACACACACACAGATTTTGAGTGTTCCAAACTCTTAACACACAAATTAGTATTTCTATTTTTGTATTCTAGCAGCACAGAATCATGGAACTGTTTAGGCTGGAAAAGATCTTTAAGATCGCTGAGTCCAACTGTTAAGCCAACACTGCCATGTCCTGATAACACAATGAAGAACTTCTACACAAATCCCATTTTAAAAGCTTGCATGGCTTACCTGGGGCCAGAAAAGTCTAAATCAGGATCCTGAAAAATGTCCGAGTCAGAGATCCTGTAACAAGAGAATTCATCTCAAAAAAATGGAATTCATTACTTATTAAAGTTACCGAGCCAAGTTTCAAGTGCTTATGAAAGGTAAGGTACACTAAAAGGAGAGATTCTTTTGGTTGCCTGTGGTGCTAAAAGTATGGATTTGAAAATAGCCTGACAGCGCTGTTCCAAGGCAGTTTTGCAAAATCCAAAACCAAACAGACCATACATAGATTCAGAGCAGCTGTGGATAAATGCATTTACTGCATTAGCCCTAAGTAACTAAAGTTAGTCAGTGATTAACAACAAAAATCAACAAATACAGCTTTTTACTAAGCTCACCTTCACCATTAACCAAGCTTAGTTTCACCCAGATATGCTCTGACAGGCATCCCTGCTTTGGGGAGTGAGGAGCAAGCACAGCAATTTGTCCACCAAGTGGGGCCATAGTCTCATCCTCTACACAGAGAAAAGCAAACACCAATTTTATGAGGGTTTCTGTTACCTTCAGTCAAACTGAACCAACGGCAGAACAGAAGTGTGACATTTCAGTGTCAGTCCCTCCTCCACCTGGCTAAGGATCTCTGACAGTCTTTGCTCCACACTACCACTGCATATCATGGTGGCCTCCAAGGAGCAGATCTGTACTTTGAACAAGTCCTCTTATGCCTGAGTAAAGGGGAGTGATGCTTGCTTTCCCTGCAGGGAGGTGGCTGCTCTTCTGTGCTTCACAGAGACAACACCGAGCTCAGGCCAGTGCTTCACCCCAGACACCCTTCAGTGGTTAAGCCCTGCCTGAGCCAGATAAGCAAGTGGCTCAGCTCAAGTTTGCACTCAACCAGCCTCATTCATTCTCCACAGCAAGCCTGGCAATTTTCCACATCATCCACTCTGTGACTACAGTAATAACTCCACAATACGTGGTTTTAGAGTGTGTCCTCTCTGCTCCTTTGGGATGCCTTTCACTTGGTAACATTCTCCATCTGGAGCAGGTACCAGTGGTACCTATCTGGTGTCCTTGAGTATCCTGAAGTGTGAAGTTAAGCTTTCAATAACAAGGACTTTCCACGTGATATAGCAATGCTGACAATGACAATTATTTTAACAAGCATCAATGCATATTGTATCAGGCCTTGAAGCCCTCCCACAAAGGTAAAAAAAAAGCATATTAAAGCTTCATCCCAACCAGTTGGTGGATGCCAGTTTCCTCATTTTCTCTGCGATCTTCTTTACAGTTTCCAGAGGGTCTTCTGCATCAGGAGACCTTCAGAAAAATTACACAGAGTATAAGTATTTGAAAATTATTAAGACACACATCAGTTCATGCATTATTTTATCCAGCTCATTGTTCCCTTTGTACAAGTAACAAGCATTAACGTTGACCCCCAATAGAGCCTGATAGAGATCTAGAACAGAAAGGTCCTTTAGGAAGATTTAACCATTAAACAGTGTGGTTTTGTCATTTGATGACAGAATTGTAATGTGTTGTACACATTCAGTTTGCCTCATAACTTTTGTTAAGCTGATTGCACTGGAATTTTTGTTCATCAAATTTTAGGAATACATTAAAGAAGCAGTATCGATCCAGACAAGATCCACAGCAGAAATAGGACAGGATTGTGCAAGTTGTACCTCACCAAAATAATCAGTATATGCCTGACAATCCTCATCCAGAACTGAGAAGAGTTACAAACCAATAGTTAGTAAGTGGAATAATCATACAAATTCTTTTTCTCATCCTGACAAGATCACCTCAGTTAACATTTAAACATACTGAAAGTACTTGGGTCAGGTCTTACAAACCAAGTATTTCCTTTTGTGTATAGCAAAGGCAAATACTTACTTCTTACACAGAGAGTAGCTCATCTTCACTAAGCACCTCTATCCAAATGTTCACACAGACACAAGCACTAAACTGCATGAAAATATGAGATGCTGGTATTACTTTCTTCACTATATCTGAGAGTAGCTACCAAATTACTGTAAAGACTCAAAGAGCAACATGAGTTGCCAAAATGTTTAAAAATACCAAAAGGCCCTAAAATCAGTTAGAATAAAATGTTTGATTTTCCTAGAGATTTGCCTTGATGGAAAAGATGCAACACCACTGCATTCACTGTAGGTTTGGACTTCCCTGAGACTTGGTTGTTTGTACCTGTTGTTTTGTTTACTTCACAGAAAATCCTAATCCTGATAATCCATTGCAGAAAACAGATGTCATACAACAGATTCTTAGAACTAAAATCAGTCCAGCAGCATTCCCACTGCAAGCATCACCTGGTGCAGCCGCAGTGGTAATCAATGGGGATGTTCATGTACCAGGATGGCTCCCTTAGGGAACATCCCAAACTTTTCAGAACTGCATTGGGCTGACACATTCCTCAAGACACTGGCTGTTTTCTCTGTCCTTGCCCTCCCAAGCCTGAGTAACTGCACAGTAAGAATAGCACATTAAAAGCTTTTAACTGCCACAAAAAAACTTCTCAAAGCTTAAGCAAAATCATTTCCCAACAAGGGTATCACTTCATTTTTCAGTGACAAATGCTGCAGTCAGCTGGTTTCTATTCATCATTTTCCTTCCTATCACATATCGCGTTAACACGACATACCCTGGTATCTTGTTCCTAAACCACACTCCATCCAAAGAGCTCAAATTCCTTCAGGTGTAGTTGTTCAGAGAAAGCAAAAAAAAAAAAAAAAAAAGGCAAAGACAATATTTAAACTGACTTTAACATCTGAAAATTCAGCCTTCACTCTCGGGCATCAAGAAATATCTTAATACTGTTGCCTGGAATAAAACACAAAACTTTTCCAAACAGTGCTAAAATGATAATATGAACACAAGTCTTTAATTGACAGCCTTGATGGTGCACAGTATGGTGATATGCACACACAATACAGTATTTCTACAATTTTTCTAAGGTTGATTAGTATACCTATCAAATATTGTCCAGTAAGAAGAGCAGTTGGTTAGGTAATTTCCCCCTGGGTTCTGCCCCACTGGAGCCCCCACCAATCTTTTTTAGCCTACACTTTACTGTGTCTACAATATAAGCTGCAAAATGAAGTGTCCTTGCTAGACTAAAGGCAAGACTAAACAGAATTTCAAGAATGTATTAGTAAGGGCTTGGTAAACTATGAAGGAGGACAGGAAAAGTATTAGAAGTGAGAGCTTTGTATTAACAGCTTACAATGTTACAAATACATGAAAAAATATAAAAAAAAGCTAAAAATATTTAGGCATCACAGCCAACAATAAAAAGAAAAACAAAAATCTTTCAAGGGTTTAAATATGGAGGTTCATTAAATAGAAACAGAGAAGAACTTCTGTACCCATAGCACAGTACTTTTTACAGCTTTACATGTGCTTACACATGGTCTTCTTTATTCTGCAGACACCTAATACCCTTCTTCCTCTACCCCAACAAGGAAATGACAGGTAGCTAAACCAATTCCAAAATACTTTGTGAGATTACACAGCAAGGCAACCAAAAAAATTCCTCCCTTCATCTCACAATTGTACTACTGCAGCACAAGCAAATAACAAGGAAAACCAAAGGCCTAGGCCAGTTCTCAGGTGGCTGAGCTGAGCCAACAAGGGCCCAGCACACGAAAGAAGAATTTGGTGCTTCTGCTTTGTTCCTCTCTTCCTCCATCAGCTGTGGCATCCATGAGACCCTTCCTCAACTGACTGAATTCTCCAGCCCATCAAATGATGGTACTTTTTTCCCCAGCCAGTCTTCTGCTAGTTTAATTATTTGAATCACCTGAGAACAGGTACAGTCCACACCCAACCCAACACAATCCAGTTACTGAGGGGTTCCTCCTATCCTGCAGGGCATCAGCATGATGATTTCACACCATCAGTACCACACAAAACCTTTAAAGACTGACCAAGTTCCAGCTCAAGAGCAGAGCTGCCACTCTTCGCACCCAGTCCCCAATCACTGCAATAAGTACTAACTTCCACCCCAATATATTCAAGAGCAACTGGCATACTGTTACAGCTATAGCACCTTTGTGGTGAGTCAGCTTAAAGACTCCTTTTTCTGGTGCTCATACCTTGAAGTACTTACAGATAAAACTCTGACCGTGTCAGCCACACTGATTTCAGCTCAGCCCCCGAACAGAACAAACTGTGATCCTGGATTACTCTGACCAAATCAAATGTCTTTTTGCATATCACAAGCAACTTTTCTGCACACGTCTGTGCAGAATTGGATCTCTCTGATCAAGTGATACCACTGATATAAAATATAAAGAGTGCTTCTCCTTCTCTGAGACCTCACCAGCTAAGTTCTGTGATTACATCCGCTCTTTCTAATTACAAAGTTGGGGAAGACCACACAGTCCATCCTCTAAGCACAATAACAAATTAGCAACAGATAGGGCTGCTGAAAAAAAAAAAAACAACCAATAATAGCATTTGATGTATGAACTCAATCACTAAACAAGCTTACATAAGTATGCTGTTTATGTGATATCATCACTGAACACCTCAGTGTTTCTATTGTCTTCCAGTAAAAGTGCAGAATTTACTGTGTCGGGGGTGAAAAGGTGAAGGTTTTTGATTAGATGCTTCAAGAATAACCTGCAGCCACTTTAGTACATCATTACCTTACCTTAGTTACCAACATCCCCTATTATCAGGCCACTGCTGGCCGACACCACGGCTCAACACAAATTCACCGAACTTGAGCAGAACTTTTCCCTCAGCAGGACTTTCCCCAAATTCCGCGCCAAAACCGCTGTGCACGTGTGGGCACCTCCCGCCGCCGCCGGGAGGCTCTAACGTGTCCCTAAAACCACGGTTCCAAGTGTCCCCAACACCACGGCTCCAACGTGTCCCTAAAACCACAGCTCCAACGTGTCCCCAACATCACGGCTCCAACGTGTCCCTAAAACCACGGTTCCTCAGTCCCCAACGCCACGGCTCCGCAACCCCCACCGCCACGGTTCCACGTGTCCCCAACACCGCGGTTCCCCAGCTCCCAAAACCACGGTTCCACGTGTCCCCAACACAGCGGTTCCCACAGCTCCCTCCCAAAACCACGGTTCCACGTGTCCCCAACACCACGGTTCCCCAGCTCCCAAAACCACGCGTCCCTCAGTCCCCGCCCCGGCACGGGCGGCAGAGCTGAGGGGGCTGAGCTCGCAGCCTGGGGCTCCTCACGCCGGGGGCTGCGGCCAGGCCTCGCGGCGGGATGTGATCACCGCCTCGGAAAGCGACGCCGGAGCCTCCCAACCCCCCCGGAGCACCGGGGCCTCGCCGCTCCCCGCTCCCGCACCTTCCCGCGCTCACCGGCCGCCGGCAGCAGGAGCAGGAGGAAGCAGAGGCCCAGCACGCCCCGACACAGCGGCAGGAGGGCGGCCGCGCCCCGGGGTGTGCAGGGAGGGGGCGGCCCGAGGGAAGCGGCAGAGGCTGCGGGCGGGACGGGGCGGGGCGGCCCCGGCTCGGGAGAGCGCTGAGGCGGTCCCCGGCCCCCGATCTCGGTTCCCCATTCCCCACTACCTGATCGCTGTGCCCCGTTCCCCGTGTGCGGCTCCCGTTACCCAACGCGGCTGCTGCAGCACCAACTGAAGGCTTCTTTCTCCCTAAGGGGACACCTTACCGCAGTATCACAGAACCATTTAGGTTGGAAAAGACCTCTGAAATCATCGAGTCCAACCTGTGATTGACCACCACCATGTCAATCACACTGTCAAAACCAGGTTAGAAGCTGTTGTAAAATAGTTAATAATTGTTATGCATGTACTGTTAAAAAGTTTGGTTACTATATCCTTAAAGGGTAGGTATAAGAAATACGGTACGCTGAGTACCGTATTACACCTAAGTAAAGTGCACCACCCCCAAGCAAAGCGAGCCAGCCTGGACAAATTAAGGATCCCAACAGAAACTAATCCAAAAGAACAAAAAACTGTATAAAAAGGGAGCTTCCGAGCCGGTGGGATCATATGCCGCTCCACCTGGAACATCGGGAACATCTCTGCTCAAGAAAGGAAGAAGATCCAGCGCTGGCTCTGAAGCATCCTCGCTTCTCAGGAACACTACTGCTCGACCCTTGGGCCCTCCAAGCTCTAGGCCTTGTAAAAAAAGCTGAAATCACTTTAGCTCCAGGAGTGTGTTCCCATTTATAACAAGACCATGGCACCAAGTGCCACATCCAAGCTTGCCAAGGTGTTTGTTCCCTGAATGAATCACTTCTGTCAGCATCTAGCTAATGGAGTTATGTCATGCCCCAGCCTTGGAAGGCCAAGCAAAATACAGAAAGGCTGGTGAGAAAATCCCAAGCACCAGAGTTTGGCTTGGAAGGTGGTTTAGAGTGCCTGGGAACACTCTAAAGGCAGGAGCTGAAGGAAGCAGTCACTCCCAGCAGTGTCACACGCCTAGTATTGTAGGACTTCTGGGAAGTTCAGGTTTCTATCCTATCCTGAATTGCATTTCAGACCTGAATTCTTCAAGGCTGGATTTCACATTCTTTTTCCCTATTCTGGTTGTACCTGAGCCATTGTCTTGTTGTTGTCCACGCAGGTTCCTTAGTGGAATCTGATGTTGATGAAACGTTCTGGCTGCTGGGGCACTCCACCTGAGCCTATAGCCTGGTCTGCCTTCCCCTAGGGAGTGCTCCTGCCTCTGGATCAACAGTGCTACAGCACTGTTGCTAAAGAACACCAGGACTGATAAAGCAGCCCTCTTCTCAGTAAGTTTCTGAGGGTAAATGGCCTCTGCTCTATACTTCCCTCTGGTTGCCTTTTTTTCTTCACAAGACATCCTCACAGGCCTTCTAGAAGGTGTCTCAAGGAGAGGTTTCAGTCTCCCCTACCTTACCTGCTTCCTAGCATATTGCAGAATCTCTCACTCACAGGAGAGGAAGCTCAGGTGTGTTAGATGACTTGGAAGCACTGGCAGAGG